GAGCAGAAGAAGATGAAGGACACAAAGTAAACATAGGCCAGGTCAGTGCCGCAGCGCTCGTTCTCGTTCTGCCCCGACGTCGCCGTCGTGTCCGGCTCGCAGCCTTTGCCCTCCAGGCAGGACAGCATGATCTCCTGCCACGCCTCTCCAGTGGCACTCCTGTCCCCAACACAGCCTTGTCAGCACCTCGTGGTGACACAGGATGGAGTCAGGGTGTCCCCAGGAGAAACCTCACCACCCCCTGCCCAAATTAAACACATCTGTGACATGCAGAGGAACGTTTTCCACGGCTGCTCACCTGAAGAGGAGCATGAGGGAGCCCAGGAAGCTGCGGAAGTTGTTGTGCCTGTTAATGTGGCTTTCCTCATCTAGTTTGATATTGCCAAAAACCTACAAAAGGGAGGAAAAGGGCTCAGCTCTCCAGGTGAGAGCTCGTCGAGCCAGGGAAGCGGCAGCACGTTCACATTCCCGTCCTTGAGAACATTCCAGGTCAGGTTGGACAGGGCTCTGAGCAACCTGATCCAGCCGAAGATGTTCCTGCCACGGGGTTGGGCTGGATGGCCTTTAAAGTCCCTTCCAACCCAAAGCATTCTCTGACTCTGTGATTGCACAAAAAGAACCCCAGCAAACACAGGCTGGTGCACAGCCAGCGTGCCAAGGAGCTGGCGCCAGGCAGCCATGGGGGAAGGAGACTCTCCTCTCCTTGGCAGGGATTTGCTGTGGGTGGCAAAGGCTGCGAGAGGCTGAGCTACCATGGAAACAGGAGCACGGAGGGCCTGGGATCAGCTGAGTCCAACATCCATCCCTGGATGCCATCTGAGCACCACATGGTGCCCCAGCTATGCTGGAGGAGCTGGGACCAAGTGCCACCACCCTGGCTCCGTTCTGGGTCACAGCCCTGGACACTCCCAGGAGCTTTTCCCTTGGTGTGATCCGTGATGCTGGGCTCAGGGAGAGCACTGCAAACAGGGTGGAGAAGGGCTCAGGGAGGGAGGGACAGACCCCACCATCCCCAAGAGCCAAGACAAGCAACAAAGATCAAACCATGGACAATATTCTAAAAACAATCCTCAGCCAAGGCTGTGGTAAGACATACTGAACATTCGTAAAGTGCCTCAAATTGGAAAAATGTGCTGTTATTACTGTTCAATATTTATTCCCCTTTCCCTGAACCTAAAAATACACCAACTGCAGAGTATTTTTTCCCTGTACAGGTTTTTTGGAATGTGTAATTGTAGAATATTTTCTGCCTCCAGCTATTTTGCTCAAATAACGCCCACAGACTTTACTGCTTGGGGATTTGTTCACAATGGTGTTAAAAAAAAAAAAAATAAAAATTTAAAAAATAAAATAAAATAAAAAAAAAATCTAATACTACCTCCCGGCAGAGAGGGGGGCTGAGTCAGATGGTGGCTGTTTAGGAGAACACCTGGAGCTGAGGTATGTAGGACAGGGTGGCAAAAACCAGCCATGGCACTGGCAGATCCTGTGCAGCAGAGCTGCCAAGCAGCACGAGCCAGGGGCCACTGTCACCCCCAAAAATCAGCTCCTGTCAGGTGCTGGGCACAGCTCATCGGGCAGCTCCACATCCCAGAGCTCGTCGTGGAGGGCGCTTTGTCACATCTCCAGCGTGGGATTTAGTCACAGCAGAGGCGAGCCAGCCCCGCGGCACGTGTGGAGCTGAGGGGCTCGGCTCACGTGCCTCTTATTCACCAGCTGGAACCCGCTGAGATGACACCTCCCCACGCTCTGCAGAGCCCCCACCAGCTGGGAGCTCAGGGCAGCGCCCTGAATGTGAGCACCCAAACAGTGGCACGGCTGCAGGGACAAGACGGGTGGCAGACACCCAACCGAGTCCCCAAGGTCACAGCTCCAAAGGTGCCAGATAGGAAGGCAAGTTGTGGAGCTCATGTGAGCACGGCCAGGGCAGTTTCCCCAGGGCATGTGCAGCTCCCAGAGGAGCTGTTCCATCCTCAGCACCTCCTGGGTGCACAGGGCTCGCTCCTGGTGCTGGGGGCATGCTGGTGTCACCGTCTGTGCCAGAGGGACGCACATGGACGCATCTGTCTCACCTGCATCCCAATGATGGCATAGATGAAGAAGAGCATGGCGATCAGCAGGCAGACGTAGGGGAGTGCCTGCAAGAGAAGCAGATGAGTCACCTCATCTCTCACAGCTCCAGCCCCAGAGGAGTACAAAGCACACAGGTGAACTGTGCTGATCCATCTCTGCTACAAAGCCTTGGGAACAGCCCGTATTTGGGAGCAGCACCACATCCCTGTGGCCTGGGAAGAGGCCAGGGATGACCTGGTCAGTGAGACAGACCTTGAAGGACTGCACAAAGGTCCAGAGCAGGATGCGGATGG